TGGTTCCTCATCTACACATCGTATGAACCCTCAACTGGATCTGCCCCTGGATACGCCTACTCCAATCATTACTCATCACCTCAATGTTTGTTGCCTGAATGTTAATTCACTATGGTGTCGACTTGATACAATCNATAGTACTCCCTCTTTTACTCGCTCAAATTTGCCTTCCTTATGATAGGCATGTAATGGTCTCCCCCCCCCCAGATCCATTGCACTAGTATTTAACAACAAATTTAGTAAAATAATTCTCTTTGTATACTACGTACAAGCTCGATGTTTTCTTGTCAGGGGAGGAATTTCCCGCGTTTAAGGTACCTTAAAATACTTANATGAGCATGGTGGAGGTGTTGCCATCTATTACCATGATTCTGTCAAGGCTACTACTATCTCTATGTCAAACACCGTCTGGGCGGGGAGGCCTGGACATGTTGAATATCTTTTTTGCGAGATCCGGCCGGTGGGATCATCACCTGTCTTCGTTGCAGCTATCTACCGTCCCCCTCATGCTCCCTTCAATCATCCGGTGAACTTCACTGAGCTTCCCTCAACGGCTCTCGACGGCTACAGTCACAAAGTGATCATGGGGGATTTTAACGCTGACCAACTTTCAAACGACAATCCTGACGGTAAACTTGTCCGTTCGCTAATGAGTGACCTGTCATTGCAACTAGTGAATCACGATGTCACCCACTCTACTCTCACACCTTCCACTTTGCTTGACCTCTGCCTTGTTGATGAGAGTGACACAATCACAGGATCGTTCACCTCTGATTGCCCAATGGCAGCTGGACATCACCTGATTTCTGCCTCTGTGGCTATCGGTGGCTGCAAACCTCATGCCTCAGTCATCTCTAGTCGCCTTTTATCTCGTCTCCTGAGAGCTGATGTTATTGACAACTTTCAACGGTCGCTCCAGAGTATTCATGTGCCTCAGTCTCCTGATCCCAATGGATTAGTGATGAACTTTACTAGCACCTTCATGGATTTGGTAGATGTCCATGCCCCGTTACGGCTCTTGACTGTGAATAACGCCAAGGCAGCTCCATGGCTTGATGATAACCTGAAGTCTTCGTATCAGCATGTTCAGTATCTGTACCGGAGATTCAAGCGCACCAGAACATCCCAACGGCTCCTTGAGTTTCGGCTGGCCAGACGACTCCACCTTTCCAAGCTTGCTGAGGCTCGTGCCAATTACTACTACTCTCGACTCTCTGGTCTGTCTGGTAGGGGTCTCTGGAACGAGCTTCCCCATCTTGCTCTCATCCCTGGCTCGAGTTCTCGTCCAATTGTTCCTGCTGACGTCTTGAACTCCCATTTCGCAGCAGTTTCCACTGTGCCGTGTATAGATCCACCTGACCTGGGGTTAAATCCCTCCCAGTTTACTCCACCTACTACTGCTGATGATCACTCCTCTTCAGATTTGCTGTTTTCTTTCTCCGAAGTGAGCTGGCTGAATATCCTGGCGGCAATCTCATCGATTGCGTCGAATGCTACTGGTGCGGGTGGGATATCACGGAAGATGANATGGAGAGGTTGGTGTATAATCAGCTTTCGTCATTCCTTCTGGAGCGTGGCTTGCTTGACCCTCGTCAGTGTGGTTTCAGGCGGGGCCACAGCACTCAGACGGCGTTGCTGAGGCTTGTTAATGACATCAGGAGGGGCATTGACGATCGAAAAGTTACCATTTTGGTCCTTTTTGACTTCTCCAAAGCCTTCGACACAGTCTCTCACTCTCTGCTACTGGCTAAACTCTCCAGGCTGGGCCTTTCTCCAGGTGCTGTGGCTTGGATTCGCTCTTACCTGGTTGGTCGTTCTCAAGCAGTAAAAGGCGAAAGTGGGCTATCTTCGTTCCTTGAAACTAATGCTGGTGTACCTCAAGGTTCCATCCTTGGCCCGCTGCTGTTCTCGCTGTTCATCAATGACATTGGTGACTCGGTCCTTGAAGCCCACCATCTTCTCTATGCTGACGATCTCCAGATCTATCTCTACTGTGATCCATCGGAACCTTCACTGGGAATTCGACGACTGAATGCTGATATCCTCAGGATCCAAGAGTGGGCTGCAGCGAATCGACTTCAACTCAATGTCGGCAAGACCAAGGCTATGATCCTTGGAGCCAAACGCTTCGTAAATGCTGTTGACGTAGCCTCTTTACCTAGCCTTGGATGCCATGGTGATGCCATTGGGTTAGTCAGCTGTGTGAGGAATTTGGGGGTCATGATCGACAGTAAACTGACCTTTAGGGACCATATCCAACTTGTCACCTCTAAGATTAACTCTGCGTTCTATCAGCTATACTGCTTACGTACTTATACTGGNCGAAACTCAACAAAACCTATCCATAACGCCCCCTGGCGGCGAAAAAAAAATAAGTATTTTAAGGTACCTTAAACGCGGAGATTTCCTCCCCAGCTCTCAGTGCTCTCACGATTGAGGCGGCATGGAATTCCCGGTAAAAACACCTCAGTTCCACTAAGCGCCGACAGAGCGCGCCACATACGTTTACGACATTTCAAAAACATCGTAAACCGACCAGGTAATTGACTGGTTTCTGACTGGTCAGAAACCAAGTAATTTACCTGAGGTAATTTACTTGCCCAACCCTGGTCGTTGGGATACTCATCACGACTTGCCCCAGCCCTCCGATTCCCCCCACATAGGCGCTTTCCCCCACTCTACGCCGTTATCGACGCTCTCATACGCTCCCTGTTTTACTCACAGGTACGTCCTCGGTGTCTCGTACGCTCCCTGCCTTACTCACAGGTACGGTCGCAAAATTAGTTCATGTGCCACTGCTACGAAATTTTGCGGTTGAAGCAAGCTTCTCCATAAGCGCTGGCAATCTCCCCTATAATTTCTGCTAGATTTGTCGTTGTTGCATGGAGGTAACTCAGCCCCACGGACCCCACTATTCAGGCGTATTCACCCGTCCCTGGCCAACAATGCTTTTCCTCTTAATGAAGTGAATGCTGCCATCACTCGATTTTTATTGGCAGTAATAATTGTGACCGATGGCGGCTAAGAAGAATTAATCAATTCCCTGCTTTACCGACACTGTTTGACCGATAAAACGTTCGGTGTACATACAGTTGTCATTTTGTACCGAATTCTGGACAGTTGATGTCTCAATGATTGATAACAGAGAATATAGGGGAGATGAGCAGGGCCAATGTAAAGTGTTCAACAGCAAAANCGAGTATGATAGGGCCCGAGTATGAATTTGTCGATAACCGGAAAGGGGTTCTCAATACGGTAGCTCCTCGCATTTTGTAATAATTGTCAGGAATGTAAAATCGAACATATTATAGCNACGACTGAATGCTGATATCCTCAGGATCCAAGAGTGGGCTGCAGCGAATCGACTTCAACTCAATGTCGGCAACACCAAAGCTATGATCCTTGGAGCCAAACGCTTCGTAAATGCTGTTGACATAGCCTCTTTACCTAGCCTTGGATGCCATCGTGATGCCATTGGGTTAGTCAGCTGTGTGAGGAATTTGGGGGTCATGATCGACAGTAAACTGACCTTTAGGGACCATATCCAACTTGTCACCTCTAAGATTAACTCTGCGTTCTATCAGCTATACTGCTTACGTACTTATACTGGTGAACGACTCAGGAAACTACTTGTCAATGCCCTCATCTTCCCTCACATCTTCTATTCTCTAGCTGTTCTCCAGGGTGTGGGCTCCGTGCTTGATCTTCAGCTTCAGCGTCTTATCAATCGAGCCGTTCGATATGTCACCGGTTTACCTCGTGATGCTTCGATCTCTGGAGCTCGACGAAGTCTTGGGTGGCTCACCATCTCGGGGTACAGAGATTACAACATTGCGACTATCATGTACCAGGTGTTGAGTACTGGTAATCCACAATACCTGGCAGAACTCTTTGCAGCTTATTCGTCAAACAGACCTCGTCGACTCATCCTAGCTCAGCAGGCTCTTGTGGTTCCCAACTTCAGGACGGATACATACAGAGCCTCCTTGGCTGTAGCTGGCTCGGAGTTGTGGAATGGCATCCCTGCTGTCATCAGAGACCTGCCCACCAGCTTAGGATTCAAATGTCTGCTTAGGTCTTGGCTGCGCACCCGGGTTGAACCCAGCTGATTACGTGTGATTTGATGAACTATTCTCTTATGCTTATCTCTTTTGCTTTTCTCTGACTAACTTCATTGCCTGTGTGCTAATGCTACTGTTTTTCCATGCTTTTATCTCAATGTATCCTCTCTTATTTATAATCTCTCTAGCCCTAANTTTTTACTATAGTAATGTTCGATTATATATATTTATTCCCCCCCTGAGGGGGGGGGGGAAACGATTATATATATATTTATTCGAACGATTATATATATTTTTCCCCGATTATATATATTTATTTTAGAACGATTATATATATATTAATAGAACGATAATAGAACGATTATATATATTTATTTATATCTTTATTCATATATATTTATTCCCCCCCTTTATTCCACCGTGAGAACGCAGCCTGGATTCATGGATTCCGAAGATTGGGAATCTCANTTTTTCTTTTCATCAATTATCATCACATATGTAGAGTATACGATTTTAGTTTAAAGGGTTTTTTTGTATATGTACTATTTCACTTTGTATTTATATTTACCTGCGAGTTTTCAATGGACTCATTCCTGTGTTCTGCAGAACTCTATGGCAATATAAACATAGTACTCCCTCTTTTACTCGNTGATCATTGTGAATGACTTTGGCGATATATTTTATTGTTAATAAATAAATATGGCTGATAATGAGACATGTGTGGTAAGCCGAAAATTGAAAGTTATAGACACTTACTTCTCTGTTAATATTTGTTTGTATTGTGTTGTTATCAACGGAATAAACCGTATTCTACACATTTTTATTAATTATAATACTCCTGTAGCACCGAACGTGTACCATCTGTTCAGAAACATTAACTTGTCAACCACAAAATTTGACTGAGCATCAGTGTTTCAATGAATATGAGTACCTCTTTATCACATCAGCAGGATTAGTTTATCCTTGCACAGGTAAATCCCTACGAGGATAGCAGCCAGTGATTTCCATAGCAATCAAAACGATAATTTTTGGTTCATTTATTACAGAGGATGGTACTATTATATCTTCTGACTTTCAAGGAAACATCGAAGTTCAAGATGAACTTCATGTCGAAGATGAGCAAAGAAAAAGGTCTCAGGTCTCAATTAGAATCTCCGAATTCTGATTGTGAGACGACCGCTCAATCAGCTACTTTAGTTTCACATGTAAGAAAGACGAGGGCTAAATGAAAAAGCAAAATCATTGATGATGATGATGATGGTGCTGCTGAGTTTTTCATATCCGAGGTCGAGAAATATCCTATTTTATGGAATCACAAGCTGAGCATGGCCGAACGGAATAGAGATGCAATTAGAAGGGACTGGGAGATCGTTATGAAGAAAATTCAAATTTGTAAACAGAAATTTTCTATGTTAATGGTTTATTACATCTATTACTTAGTCATTATTTGAGGATTATATTCAAAGAAATGTTCATTTAGCGAAATTTTCGGAGCATTTGCTTACAATCGAATCAGTGAAGAATAAATGGAAGACATTACGAACTTCGTATGGTAGAAAACTGGGTGAGGAAAAATCTACGAAAAAAAGTGGTGCAGCTGGGCCAAATCAGGGAAAACCTTGGAAATTCATGAAACAAATGGAGTTTGCTAGAGACACATTTCAACCTGTTCAAACGTAAATATAATTCTTCAAATACGGCTCCATTAAATACACCTTTCCAATTTAATTGCTGTTTTTCAGTCCCAAGAGTAATTTTGACGACCAAAACATTTCGCCAATTGACAACGCTGCTAATCCAAGTTCACGTAGACGTAAGTTTAAAATCCATGACGAATTAATTTCGATGATTTTGGGACAGAAATGTTTGAATTTAAATAAATATTATCAACGTGGTTCATTTCACTGAGTAAATGCCGTTCTGTTTTGTGTTTTTTTGTGTTTGTATATAATTTATCGATCGCCACAAATCAACTCGTCATCATAATCTTCTAAAAATTCTGTTCCTCTCTTACGTAATGTTTTTATTTTTTCGTTACCGATTTTAACGAGAGAGCGAGAGTTACAGTAGAATTGAGGGTGGCGTGAGAGTTGAGAAAGGGTGAAGGAGGTTGAAGAAAAATAAGTGATTTAATATGAAGAATTGAGTCGGAGAGTGGAACACGAGCCCAGTATTCGCCTTATCGCGCGATGTTATTTATTATTATTATTTTTTATAAGAAATTCTAGTTTTGAAAATGGAAATGTTGAATTTGGCTTTTGGGAGGATTTTTTTTTATTTCCTTTATATCTTTTTCTTCTTCTCGTTTTTTTATTTTTTTCTCTTTTCTCTGTTGAGAGATATGTTTTTATTATGTTCTTTCACTTCCAAATCTACTAAACGCAATTGACTGATACGTATTTTGCATTTACAACACATTATCATCCCGTAAAGTTGAAAAAAAATGGAAAAAATCATAATTTTTTGATGCAGGTATGAAGACCGACGATGTTCTACGAGGCTTATGTAATATGTTGGATCAACCACCACCAGTACTAACTCTACCTCAACCAATGCCACCAGTATTGCCTCTCGTTAAAGATGATGATGAAGTGAGTCTGTTTCTCGGGCTGATTGGTGCCAGCTTGAGGCGCATCCCGGAGGCGGCTCGACATGGATGCATTCTCATAGTGCTCACTTACACGTATAACCTGGAGGACAATCCTGCGCAGTTCTAGTCGATGGATTGCTGCTGATAGTTTCGAGAAAAATCTCCACACCTTCGTTATTCATCTAGTTCTATTTCCTTTAGTATTATTTTATTTCGACGGGTCCTGGAAAAACTCGGGTAACGCAGAAAAATTATCCAATCTCATACAGAGAGAATACAGAAATATCATAATTCATACGAATTTTTAATAGAACGTGCATATTCNTTTTTATTGGCAGTAATAATTGTGACCGATGGCGGCTAAGAAGAATTAATCAATTCCCTGCTTTACCGACACTGTTTGACCGATAAAACGTTCGGTGTACATACAGTTGTCATTTTGTACCGAATTCTGGACAGTTGATGTCTCAATGATTGATAACAGAGANTAACGCAGAAAAATTATCCAATCTCATACAGAGAGAATACAGAAATATCATAATTCATACGAATTTTTAATAGAACGTGCATATTCTGTACGAGAATAAGTTGAATTTTGTTACTCAATTTTCTTTCGTTAAAATTCTCTATTCAAAACAACAAGAAAATGCTCCACAACGATTATGATTTCTCAGCATAAAACGGTTAGAAAAATCAATCAGATTCTTCAGTATATAGTAAAGAATCCGAATTTTCAAAATTAATTGAAAATTCAGCTTATTCTCATTTAGAATACACACCTTCGATTGAAAATTCAATTGAGTTATGAAATTCTTGTCTTATTTCTATGTGAAATTCACTAATTGACTTGAATTCGTAGTGAAATTGAAGTAAATTCAATAATAAATCATCGGTAGTTGATCGACGTCTGCAAATTACCCTTTTTTTTTTAAATTGTATCTGAGTTTGATGTGTTTTTTGCTTTAATAAGTTTAATAATTTTTGTGTGAACATTGAGATAGACGAGTTTGTTTAGAAATCTCGAGATGCATGCATTTTAATAATTATTCTGACTTACCTGAATTTTTCTAGGACTCAGCTTGGTGATTTTTTGTAACGATTATTTTAGCCAAAGACTTTTCGGTGAATCAAAAACTCAAAAAGTAAAATACGACAAAGACACGATTCATCCCAGGAATAGTGATCAGTGAATGCTCATAACTCGCTGAAATGGAAATACTGATGCTACCAAAATGATATTATCTAGTTTATAAAGTGTTTTCCACGTCCTCAAGCGAAGTTGGATGATTAATCGTGCCTATGAACAAATGAAAACACTTCAAAGGAAGGTGACTGATTGTATTAATTAGTATTGTTACTTACTCGTATGAAAAAAAACACTTCAACATAGTGAATTTGATGTGATACAAAGAGGGAAAAGAAAACCTAGACAGTTGTAATATTGTTCACATAAATACAAGATTCTTTATTTCATTAGTAAATTCGCAATGACTACAATAAAGAAAATGTGGTGTAGTGTTTATGCGTACAAAACTTTAATACGTTGATTGAAAATGATATTTTTATTACACTCGTTGATAAATAAAAGTTATGTTTCACACGGGTTATGTCGCTTTTTCATCTAGTTTAGTACTTTAAACGGATCAAATCATATTCCACTGCCAATGTACAGCACCTTCTTCAAAGAAATAACGTTTCAATTCGTCTCGGTGTTCTCTGGCTGTCATAGTTGGAGCCGCATCAAGAATAGGATCCAAGCCTCTTAAAATTGGCTGTCCATCGATCACTGGTGGGTTTCTCAACTCTTCGCATCTTTCTCCCCTAATGAAATTGTGCAAACAAACACAAGCTTGAACAATCAGCTCAGCTGTTTCGACTTTAGTGACAATGGGATTTCTTAGAATTCGGAACTCCTGAACAGTGTGACCAAACGTGCATTCTATTGTCCTGCGAGCTCTGCTATGGCGATAATTGAAGATTCGTTGATCATCAATCAATCCATGTGAGCCGGGATAAGGACGCATCATGAATTCTATTAGTTGGAAGGCTTCATCGCCTACCAATGTGAATTGCATGAGAGCTCCACCTTCTTTCAAACGACGAGGCGGAGGTAAATGCACTTGTTTGTTTTCTAGTGAAATTCCGAATTTGGATCGCTTGAAAACTCCACCATCACTTTGTCGTCCCTCAGCGCCGATGTCAACAATCACATATTTACAATTAGCGTCACAGATAGCCATCAGGACTATGCTGTTACGACGTTTATAATTGAAGAAGTCAGATCCACAGTGAGATGGAGCCTGCAAAAATGAACACATCCTTGTACACATCTACCCTCAATTTTCTCACTGGGAAACATCCCTAGACACGCCACATGAAAAATATTCACCCTCTGGATTGAAGCAAAGGAATGCTTGAGGGTGAAAACTCCAATTTTTTAAGTATTTTCTGACAAAAAAATTACATTTCAGGGGTTGAAACCTAGGTGAACTTCTAATCTGAAAAATGTTCTCAGACACCCCTTCACACCCCCACAAAAAATTTTATTCCCAAGCATCCATTTGTCCTTCAATTTGACTTTGATCCTTCTCCGAATGGGTCGAAATTTTTCTGGAGCTTTGAGAGGGTGCCTGGGAACATTTTTCAGATGAACAATTTACCTGGGTTCCGACCCTACGAGAGTAAATGATTTTTTTTACTAGAAAAAACGATTTTTTTGTGGATTTGTACCCCCAACCACCCTTTGCCCTTTGCCCTTTGCCGGATGGATCGACATTTTTTGGGGTGCCGGGGAACATTTTTCGAATGGAAAATTTACCTAGGTTCCAACCCCTGGAGGGTAAATATATATAGATATATTTTTTTTAGAAAAAGCCATAATTTTGGGGTTTTTACTCCTAACTACCCTTTTTCCCTTCTCCGAAGGGGTCGAAAGTTTTCTGGGGGTTTGAGGAGTGCCGGTGAACATTTTTCGAATTGAAATCTCACCTAGATTCCAAAGTCACGACTTTAAACNGACGACGACGACGACGACGACGACGACGACGACGACGACGACGACGACGACGACGACGACGACGACGACGACGACGACGACGACGACGACGACGACGACGACGACGACGACGACGACGACGACGACGACGACGACGACGACGACGACGACGACGACGACGACGACGACGACGACGACGACGACGACGACGACGACGACGACGACGACGACGACGACGACGACGACGACGACGACGACGACGACGACGACGACGACGACGACGACGACGACGACGACGACGACGACGACGACGACGACGACGACGACGACGACGACGACGACGACGACGACGACGACGACGACGACGACGACGACGACGACGACGACGACGACGACGACGACGACGACGACGACGACGACGACGACGACGACGACGACGACGACGACGACGACGACGACGACGACGACGACGACGACGACGACGACGACGACGACGACGACGACGACGACGACGACGACGACGACGACGACGACGACGACGACGACGACGACGACGACGACGACGACGACGACGACGACGACGACGACGACGACGACGACGACGACGACGACGACGACGACGACGACGACGACGACGACGACGACGACGACGACGACGACGACGACGACGACGACGACGACGACGACGACGACGACGACGACGACGACGACGACGACGACGACGACGACGACGACGACGACGACGACGACGACGACGACGACGACGACGACGACGACGACGACGACGACGACGACGACGACGACGACGACGACGACGACGACGACGACGACGACGACGACGACGACGACGACGACGACGACGACGACGACGACGACGACGACGACGACGACGACGACGACGACGACGACGACGACGACGACGACGACGACGACGACGACGACGACGACGACGACGACGACGACGACGACGACGACGACGACGACGACGACGACGACGACGACGACGACGACGACGACGACGACGACGACGACGACGACGACGACGACGACGACGACGACGACGACGACGACGACGACGACGACGACGACGACGACGACGACGACGACGACGACGACGACGACGACGACGACGACGACGACGACGACGACGACGACGACGACGACGACGACGACGACGACGACGACGACGACGACGACGACGACGACGACGACGACGACGACGACGACGACGACGACGACGACGACGACGACGACGACGACGACGACGACGACGACGACGACGACGACGACGACGACGACGACGACGACGACGACGACGACGACGACGACGACGACGACGACGACGACGACGACGACGACGACGACGACGACGACGACGACGACGACGACGACGACGACGACGACGACGACGACGACGACGACGACGACGACGACGACGACGACGACGACGACGACGACGACGACGACGACGACGACGACGACGACGACGACGACGACGACGACGACGACGACGACGACGACGACGACGACGACGACGACGACGACGACGACGACGACGACGACGACGACGACGACGACGACGACGACGACGACGACGACGACGACGACGACGACGACGACGACGACGACGACGACGACGACGACGACGACGACGACGACGACGACGACGACGACGACGACGACGACGACGACGACGACGACGACGACGACGACGACGACGACGACGACGACGACGACGACGACGACGACGACGACGACGACGACGACGACGACGACGACGACGACGACGACGACGACGACGACGACGACGACGACGACGACGACGACGACGACGACGACGACGACGACGACGACGACGACGACGACGACGACGACGACGACGACGACGACGACGACGACGACGACGACGACGACGACGACGACGACGACGACGACGACGACGACGACGACGACGACGACGACGACGACGACGACGACGACGACGACGACGACGACGACGACGACGACGACGACGACGACGACGACGACGACGACGACGACGACGACGACGACGACGACGACGACGACGACGACGACGACGACGACGACGACGACGACGACGACGACGACGACGACGACGACGACGACGACGACGACGACGACGACGACGACGACGACGACGACGACGACGACGACGACGACGACGACGACGACGACGACGACGACGACGACGACGACGACGACGACGACGACGACGACGACGACGACGACGACGACGACGACGACGACGACGACGACGACGACGACGACGACGACGACGACGACGACGACGACGACGACGACGACGACGACGACGACGACGACGACGACGACGACGACGACGACGACGACGACGACGACGACGACGACGACGACGACGACGACGACGACGACGACGACGACGACGACGACGACGACGACGACGACGACGACGACGACGACGACGACGACGACGACGACGACGACGACGACGACGACGACGACGACGACGACGACGACGACGACGACGACGACGACGACGACGACGACGACGACGACGACGACGACGACGACGACGACGACGACGACGACGACGACGACGACGACGACGACGACGACGACGACGACGACGACGACGACGACGACGACGACGACGACGACGACGACGACGACGACGACGACGACGACGACGACGACGACGACGACGACGACGACGACGACGACGACGACGACGACGACGACGACGACGACGACGACGACGACGACGACGACGACGACGACGACGACGACGACGACGACGACGACGACGACGACGACGACGACGACGACGACGACGACGACGACGACGACGACGACGACGACGACGACGACGACGACGACGACGACGACGACGACGACGACGACGACGACGACGACGACGACGACGACGACGACGACGACGACGACGACGACGACGACGACGACGACGACGACGACGACGACGACGACGACGACGACGACGACGACGACGACGACGACGACGACGACGACGACGACGACGACGACGACGACGACGACGACGACGACGACGACGACGACGACGACGACGACGACGACGACGACGACGACGACGACGACGACGACGACGACGACGACGACGACGACGACGACGACGACGACGACGACGACGACGACGACGACGACGACGACGACGACGACGACGACGACGACGACGACGACGACGACGACGACGACGACGACGACGACGACGACGACGACGACGACGACGACGACGACGACGACGACGACGACGACGACGACGACGACGACGACGACGACGACGACGACGACGACGACGACGACGACGACGACGACGACGACGACGACGACGACGACGACGACGACGACGACGACGACGACGACGACGACGACGACGACGACGACGACGACGACGACGACGACGACGACGACGACGACATATTCTAGGAAGATTCTAGTCTTTGGGTTCCATATGACATAATGGTGGAGGAATAGGAACCGAGGACTACAATCCCTCCAATATGACTTATAGAGCTCAGTTAAAGGATAACAGAAGGCCATTGTTTCCTCGAAATTTTCAAACAAATTTCCTGCTCAAAGTTATCAATATTATTTGAACCCAAAGCACATTGATTTTCATCATCGTCTCTTGGAGATTAATGTGCTTCGATTTGTAAAAATATCGATAAATTTTTGCAGGAAATTTGCTTGCTAATGCCAGAGGCCTTCAAGGATTATCGGCAGCACTCTTAAAAAAATAGCGCTCAGTCAGCTAAAGTCATTTTGCTGACTGAGCGCTAGGCGCTCAGAGAGATTGTAGCCTTCGGTTCCTATTCCCCCACCATTATGTTATATGGAACTCAAAGACTAGAATCTTGCCAGTACGCCTGTAACGCCAGTTAAGTGAACGTGTCGAATCGATGTTCATGTGCATAGAGCTTCAGTGCTCCCGAAAGTGATCGCTGAATACCCATTTGAGTTTTCCAACAGTTCTCTGCTCATTAATTTTGTTCATAATTTTTCTTTTTTTTTTGCTATATTTCTCTCATAAAATGTCGATTGTTGAAATTGAAACTCAAGTCTACGATGGCCAAAAACCGGGCACTTCGGGTCTCCGTAAAGCGGTGAACGTATTTCAACAAGAACATTACACCGAGAATTTCATCCAAGCAATTCTGACCGCTCTCGGAGATCAACTGATCGGCTCAACTCTTATCGTCGGTGGTGATGGACGTTATTACGTAAAACAGGCCGTTGAAAAAATTATACGTATTGCAGCCGCTAATCGGGTGAGTTTCTTCACATAATGATTGGTTTGTTTTTATGATTTTCTTTTGTCGCTGTCACCTATTACAAATGGTATGTGATTCTCCGTGACCTTTGAGAGGTCAAAATAGCAAAGTTGAGTGAATTATTTCCAGAGACGGTCGCCCGAACCCAGATGTCTTTTTTCAACCCCATCACGCATGCGTTATTCTGTATAAGGTTTATAAGTATTTCATAACGAGGGGGGATATTAACTGAATTAGTTTTTGCAATGAAATTTTATATTTTTTGTCGTGAAGAGGAGAGGATATCTACTCGGTTAACAATGGTGAGAAAAAAGATGACATGGAGCATAATTTTATTCGCTCGACATTTATCTGAAAGCTCTATTTGATGTGAATAATATCCTTCCCCGAGATGTTCAATGAAATAAATGATGAAATTATTTTTTTATCGCACGGAAACTTTCCCAGAAAAAAAAACTCGATAATTCCTCCTATCACACGTTAGAAAGATAATGAGTTAAGCCATATGAGGCAGTTTCACTATTTTACGAAGAAACCCTGTATTATATAATATAATTGATCACAGATACGTGCGTCGAAAGCAGAACGAGCCGAATTGATTTACAATTTTTTCTTAATTAAGTGATTAACTTGCAAATGAGAACATTTCGTGGCTAAATTTCGAGAGAACTTGCTCGTAACTTGGAAAATTTAACACGAAAATGGGGAATTTTCGATATTGCCTCTTTACATGACTCCGTATTGATAATATGAGCCATGTATCTAATGTAACAATTTCATGTCCTTCAATAGGTGGGAAAATTGATCATAGGCCAAAATGGAATATTGTCGACACCGGCAGTCTCTACTCTAATTCGCAAATATAAAACTCAGGGTGGCATTGTCCTCACTGCATCACACAATCCTGGCGGACCAGATGCTGATTTTGGTATCAAGTTCAACTGCGACAATGGAGGGCCAGCCCCAGATAACGTGACAAATGAAATTTATGAGCTGACAAAATCACTCAAATTTTACAGAACAGCCCCTGATATCAACATTGATATTACAAAAATACAAACTCACAGATTAATATTGGATGGAAAACCTTTTATCGTTGATATTATTGATTCTGTAGATGATTATGTGGCGTTGATGAAGGAGATATTTGATTTCACGAGCATAAAAATGCTTCTACAGGGCAGCAGTAGCAGACCTAAGTTTCAAATACTCATTGATTCTCTCCATGGAGGTAAGGATCAGTCGAATAATTTTGTATCCTCAAAATATTAATTTTTTTGAGTTTTTTTATATGGTTTTGTTAGCATCGACAAGTTTTGAAAATCTTTCAAATTTATTTGCATGTTATTGCATACAGAAACTCATTTTTGCGTCGAATTGAAGCTTTATAATTGCTCAAATTCAAGTTGCCAATTTCTAGTGTTAGGATAACTAAATATGGTGTATAAAGCTTGAATATACGTTTTTTAGATGATGTCTGTATGTATGTATATACGTATGCAAGTATGTACGTATGTACGTAATCTTTATTCTTTTTTTCGAAATGTTCTTACAAGAGATCAATCGAATCCATGAATTTTTTATATTATATTATGGCAAAAGGAGATGAAAGTATTATCCGACGAATGTTACTTTATAATCCGAGCCGAATGCGAGGATGATAATCACATGAATCAGATAATACTTTTTCCGTTGTGTGTCATACAATATTTTATGTCATTGAGCTCGAAAACCGCGATCTGACCAAGCGAAGCGAGGTTAAAACCTCGTCTTATTGGGCTTAAAGACAGCAATAGACTTAGTGATAGCTCCAAAAATTTATTTTAAAAAATGCTCTCTTAATTCTATCTGAATATGATGCGAGTTGCATAAATTGGACATTTGAAAGTGGACATTTTTGAAAAATACAATTAAATGAAAAAGAAAGCCAAGTCAGGAATGTCAAATGAATGGGTGTAGTAGACGATCGGATTTCTGTAAGAAAAATAGTTCTCAATAGAAAAAGGATTTTTAAACAATTCTCCAAAAAATAAAAAATCAGTAGGAGAAGGACCAACGTCCTTGGCACGGCTCAGCAGATGGAGAACTAGATTGATCAAGGGTGCATCGAGGTAGTCTCGCAATCGAGGTAGTCGCAGTAACAGTACTGCAAACTGCAATCCTGTCCAATTGTGCTTGACTGCATCCAAAGAGGATAGACCTGAGTAGAGGCCCGGATCGGGGGGTTTGACTGACTCCAAAAATGTTAGTTGGTACCCCCCGGGAAAGGCGGCGACCCGGTCGAATTGTCGGTAAATGTGAGTCGGGTGAGTAAGTAACTCGGCAGTATATAGCAGAGATTATAGGGGAGATGAACAGGGCCGATGTAGAGTGTTCAACATAAGAAATCGTAGCGGTGGCGCATGGACTACGATGGAGCGTACGGAACTGTTGGTATGATAGGGCCCGAGCATAAATTTGTCGATAACCGGAAAGGGGTTCTCAATACGGTAGCTCCTAGCATTTTGTAATAATTGTCAGGAATGTAAAATCGAACATATTATAATCAATAGTATAATGAATGCACAATCTAATGATCTAAAAGTCTTTTCCTTTTTCTCGACATATTTATCATTCACACGTAGGTCAAAAAATTCATAGAAAATCCCAGCGCTGTCGCTGGAAAACTCGATAGTTTTCCAGTGATTCTATTGAATAATTGTGCTGATTTTGTTTTTTTTTTACTATAGTAATGTTCGATTATATATATTTATTCCCCCCCTGAATGAGAAAGGAATATGTATCGCGCTCGCTCCCACTCATT